CGGCGAGGGGGAGGGGGCGGGAGGGGGGGGGGGGTGCGGTGCCGAAATAAAGTGGTCGGGGCGGAGGGGGCACTGGGCGGGCGCTGGAGCCGCGCAGGGGCGCTGAGACGGCGCGGGGGAGGGGGCGGAGCGGGGGGGGGGTGCGGTGCCGAAATAAAATGGTCGGGGCGGAGGGGGCACTGGGCGGGCGCTGGAGCCGCGCGGGGGCGCTGAGACGGCGCGGGGAAGGGGGCGGAGCGGGGAGGGGGGGTGCGGTGCCGAAATAAAGTGGTCGGGGCGGAGGGGGCGCTGGGCGGGCGCTGGAGCCGCGCGGGGGCGCGAGGACGACGCGGGGGAGGGGCGGAGCGGGGGGGGGGTGCGGTGCCGAAATATAGTGGTCGGGGGCGATGGGGGCACGGGGAGGGCGCCGGAGCCGCGCGGGGGCGCTGAGACGGCGCGGGGGAGGGGGCGGAGCGGGGAGGGGGGGTGCGGTGCCGAAATAAAGTGGTCGTGGCGGAGGGGGCACTGGGCGGGCGCTGGAGCCGCGGGGGGGCGCTGAGACGGCGCGGGGGAGGGGGCGGAGGGGGAGGGGTGCGGTGCCGAAATAAAGTGGTCGGGGCGGAGGAGGCCTGGGCGGGCGCTGGAGCCGCGGGGGGGCGCTGAGACGGCGCGGGGGAGGGGGCGGAGCGGGGGGGGGTGCGGTGCCGAAATAAAGTGGTCGAGGCGGAGGGGGCACTGGGCGGGCGCTGGAGCCGCGGGGGGGCGCTGAGACGGCGCGGGGGAGGGGGCGGAGCGGGGGGGGGGTGCGGTGCCGAAATAAAGTGGTCGGGGCGGAGGGGGCACTGGGCGGGCGCTGGAGCCGCGGGAGGGCGCTGAGACGGAGGGGGCGCATGATGATGATGATGATGTGGATGATGATGATGATGGTGATTATGATGTGATGATGGTTGATGATGTGATGATGATGGATGATGATGATGATGATGATGATGATGATGATGATGATGATGATGATGATGATGATGATGATGATGATGATGATGATGATTGATGATGATGATGATTGATGATGAGATGATGATGATTGATGATGATGATGATGATGATTGATGGATGATGATGATGATGATGATGATGATGATGATGATGATTGATGATGATGATGATGATGATGATGATTGATGATGATGATGATGATGATGATGATGATGATGATGATGATGATGATGATGATGATGATGATGATGATGATGATGATGATGATGATGATGATGATGATGATGATGATGATGATGATGATGATGATGATGATGATGATGATGATGATGATGATGATGATGATGATGATGATGATGATGATGATGATGATGATGATGATTATGATGGGGGGGGGTGCGGTGCCGAAATAAAGTGGTCGGAGCTCTAGACACCCTGTGCAAGATAATAATCTTGAGGTTCCAGGGGGGAGCCCGCCCTTCCTCCAAGGTCCAAGAGGCCCCAGCCTGCTTCCAGAAGAAGGCTGCGTGCCCCCGAGGGAAGCGCAGGCCCCCATGCACGGCGGGCTCTTAGTTCAGGAGCTCGCCGCAGCAGCTCTCGGGCGGAGCCCAACAGAGCGCTGCAAGCCCGCGCCAGCCTCCGTGCAGAGGCAGGCCTGCCTCCTGGGAGGCGCCTTGCTCCCCTGGCGGCGCCCCCCCTCTCGGTCACTGCGCCGACGACGACGACGACGGCGACGGCGACGGCGACGGCGACGGCGACGCGCTCCGCGCGCCTACGACGGCCCGGGCGTCGACGCGGCCACGGCCGCTGCCCCGCAGCGCGCCCCGCGGAGGCCCCGTGGCCTCCCCCCGCTCTCCCGAGGACGCGGCGCGCCGCGCCGCGGCCGGGCCCCAGGCGCCCGAGGCCGAGGAGCTCCAGGCCGCGCTGGCGGCCGAGCAGGAGCGCCAGGCCAAGCGCCCCAGGGTCGGGTGGCTGCTCCCCGCGGCCCCCTCGGCGCCCTCGGCGCCGGCGCCGGCGCCGGCCGCGGCGCCCGCCGCGGCGCCCGCGCCCGCCGCTGCTGCGGGTCCGCGCGGCCCCCCAAATGGGAGGGGTCGGGGGTGGACAGACCTCCTACCTTGACACGTCGATTAGCGAATTGGCCGTTTTCGGTTCGCGAGAGGGTGTCGCGGCCGTCATTTTTGCGGGTCCAGGTCCGTCGATTTCGGCCCTAGGTCGCTTTCACTAAGGGGAGGTTTACTAAAGGGAGGTTTGTCCACCGCCGAAGGGGGGTCGGGTGGGATCGGATCGGGATTGAAGCACCCCGTCAGCCTGTGCAGTGGCACGTGCGTGCAGCGCACGAGGCGTGGCGCAGGGGGCCCCGAGAGGCCTGCGGGCAAGGGGCCCAGAGGGAGAGAGAGGGGGATCTCGGGGAGAGGACGGAGGGAGGGGGGGGTGGCGAGTGAGGGCGGGGAGGGGGGCAGCGCTAGCGTTCGGCGTCACGAGGTAGTGGGAGGAGAGGAGAGGAGAGGAGAGGAGGGAGGGAGGGAGGAGCTGGGGGAGGAGGAAGAGGAGGAGGATAAGGAGGAGGAGGGAGGAGGAGGAGGAGGAGGAGGAGGAGGGGCAGGAACAGGAGGAGGGAATAACGGGAGTGCAAATCCAGGATTACAGTGATGCGGCCGTATACACGTCGGTCCCAAGTCCCGTCCTCGTAAGTCTCTACAGTCATCATTAGACTATGGGGAGCGACCGTTGAAAGATGAGCAGCCCTATGGCCATGCCATTCAGACGATTGCCTCGTTTCGAACAGGATCCACCCTCCATGCCTAAACCATTCACTCAGTATACAAACCGAGTCGTACAACTCGGGTCACAGTTCATGTCATTGCATGCAATGTCGAATAAGAGCCCCTTCATCCCGTGTGTATTACTGTACACCTGTATGATATCCGTATCATGAATATTTCGGTGATCTCAATCCAGAGGCTTGTTTTTGATGAGGAGCCGTCCTCCATCCACGTCGATGCTGATGGCTTTTCAGAGCAGTGCGCGCGGCGCTGAGGTGAGAGCCACATATGAAAACGCCATGTGTTCCATCCGCTTTCTTCGTGCTGACTTTTGCAAACGACTTTCCATGCTGATATGACGATGGTCGAAGCAAGCGAACGGAGCCCGATACATGCAATTGATGGACATCGGTAAGGCACACGAGCGCGGTGCTTAGTCATACAGCCCGATCTTGAAAACCAGGGAGCCTTCCATCAGTGTAGGCTGTTGGGAGGATTGTCAAGTGCCTGGTGGTGCCACGAGGATGGGGTCATGATATTCCAACAGGCATGTTATCGTGATCATCGTGATGATGACGAGGTCGACGATAGGGAGGTTGTGATATAGGCGGGATGATAGTGCTGATTATGATGCTGATGATGATGATGATGATGGTGATGGTGATGATGGTGATGCTGTTGATGATGATGGTGATGCTGATGTTGTTGATGATGATGATGTTGATGATTTTGATGCTGATGCTGATGATGATGCTGATGATGACGATGATGATGATGCGGCTGCTGCTGATGATGATGCTGATACGGAGGAGGAGGAGGAGGAGGAGGAGGAGGAGGAGGGGGAGGAGGAGGAGGAGGATGCGCTGCTGACGCTGCTGCTGATGATGGATGATGCTGATGAGAGCGATGAGGATGACCATGATGACGACGGCGATGATAATGCCGATGATGCCGATGATGATGATGATGATGATGATGATGATGATGATGATGAGGATGAGGATGAGGATGAGGATGAGGATGATGATGATGATGATGATGATGCTGCTGATGATCCTCATGGTGATGATGCTGATGCTGATGCTGATGCTGATGCTGATTCTGATGCTGATATGATGATGATCATGATGATGATGCTGCTGCTGATGATGATGATGATGATGATGATGATGATGCTGCTGCTGCTGATGATGATGGCGATGTTGCTGCTGATGATGATGATGATGCTGGTGATGATGCTGCTGATGATGATGATGCTGATGCTGGTGATGATGCTGATGATGCTGATGCTGATGCTGATGCTGCTGATGATGATGATGATGATGATGATGATGATGATGATGATGATGATGATGATGATGATGATGATGATGATGATGATGATGATGATGATGATGATGATGATGCTGATGCTGATGCGATGCTGCTGCTGATGATGATGATGATGATGATGATGATGATGATGATGATGATGATGATGATGATGATGATTGATGATGATGATGATGATGATGATGATGATGATGATGATGATGATGATGATGATGATGATGATGATGATGATGATGATGATGATGATGATGATGATGATGATGCTGATGATGCTGATGATGATGATGATGATGATGATGATGATGATGATGTTCATGATGCTCATGATGATGGTGATGCTGCTGCTGATGATGATGATGATGCCGACGATGATGATGGTGGCAGTATTGGTCTGACGTTGGCGATGGTTGTGATGAAGATCATGAGGGGGGGGTGGGGAGGAGGAATGGGGTCGTTTTGCGCTTCTGTCCGCCACCCCCCAGGGGCGTCCGCCGCTGCAGGCGCAGGCGGCGAGGGCACGCTGGCGGCTCTGCTGCGTGGCGGACCCGCGGCGACCGCCAAAAGAAAGGGGCCTGCGGGCGAGGTCACGGAGGGCTTCACATCCTTGTCAACTGAAGCCTCCATCTCGAGGTGCGCGTGGGCTAGGAGTGCAGGACTTGGTTTGAGTGCCCTTGGCATCCCTGCCTTTGTGTAGTCGCTCGCAGTAGGTCATGTGTAGAAGGACACGCCCTGCAAGTCTCGTTGACTCTGATATGTAGACACAGGCTTGCAGCACATAGAAGGATGGAGGGCATTCGGTTTTCTACGTGGGTTTCCCCCGAGACGTTTCCAATGACAGCCAGACGCTTCACAGTATGTGGCGGCTGCCTGGATGGAGGACGGCTCCTTCTCCATGCGCCTCTTGCCCTAGAAACCAGCAACATTTGAGGACCAGGTGCGTAAGCTCATGCATCGGTTGCACGGACGGGGCGGTTCTTGTACTCTGCATCTTTGCACCCGCCAACAGGATGCAGTGCACTTCCTTCTCTAGACGGGGCTCTCGCCTGAATGGCAGGCACACTGGGTGCTCTTCTTTCAAGCGTCTCTCAAGCGGAACGGAATCGTTGTCCGCCACTGTGCGCTGCCTGGTAGGGCTCCCGTAATCTTCGAAGCCGCCCACTCCACCAGCAGAGTTTGTACGCATTCCACCCCCTCCCGAAGCCACGATGACGATGGCACAATCAACATGCCCCCAAGACAGCCCCAACCCAAAGTGCCACAGGAAGACCCCAGTAAGGCCCGACGAGTCCAAACACTTTGATTGCTTCAGTTTGTTTTGGGGGTGTCTTCACCTTTTCGGGCCCCTCCAGCCCCAGACGGCCCTAGAGGCCTCCAAGATGGCCCCAAGATGCTCCTAGATGGCCCCTAGATGGCCCAATCATCCTGCAAGACGGCGTACAACCAGTCCAAGAGGGCCCCATACACGGCCGGAGACGGCCCCCCAAAGAGCCCTGAGCTGGCCCAAGAGGGCCCCCGGAGCGGCCCAGGACGGCCTCAGAGAGTTCCCGACGGCCCGAGCTTGCCCAAGGACCAAGGACGGCCACCCGACGGCCGAAGAGACACCCCAGACGGCCGAGAGAATCCCAAGACGGCCCACGAGAGCCTCAAAGAGATGGCCCAGGCCCTAAGGCGGCGCAAAGTGGTCCAAGGGACCCGCAATACTGCCTCACAGGCGTCCAAAAACGCACGTGAGAAACGGTGGAACATGAACACGAGAAGACAGCCCCCGACACGACACGGAAGAGTGTGTCACATGACGCCCCCCCAAGTCTCGCGACATGACTTGTTGACCGACCGCTTTCCCCCCCCTCGAACAGTCGCCACTAGCTTGGCACGGTGGTGGGACTTGTCGCGGCAGCTGCTTTTTGATTCAGAAGGGGGGGACTTGGGACGGGAGGGTGTATTGCAGCATCGCTGACGCATCCTGAGTTGATTATGGTCCTCCTCCTCCTCCTCCTCCTCCTCCTCCTCCCTCTCCTCCTCCTCCTCCTCCTCCTCCTCCTCCTCCTCCTCCTCCTTCTCCCCTTCATCCCCCCCTCCTCCCCCCCTCCTTCCCTCTGGCCTCTCCTCCTCCTCCCCTTGCTCTCCCCTCCGCTCCTCCCCCGTCGTGTCCCCCTCCTCTCCGTCCGCCTCCCTCCCCCCTCGGCCCGCCCGCGGCTCCCCCTGATGGGTGAGCTCGCTCGCGCGCACCGCGTGCGAGCCGCGCCCAGCGGGGCCGCCCCCTGCCGCCCGCCCCTCGGCGCCCCCTCCCTCCAGCGCGGCGATGGCGTCCAAGCAGGCCCGCTGGCTGGGCACGGCGTGGAGACAAAGTTGGCGGCACGCACCAGGGAGCAGCCGGAGGAGGAACGGCTTCTTAGAAGGAGGCCGCTTCTTAGAAGGCGCGAGTCCTATATCTATAGGCAAGGCCCGCGCCTTCTTGGACGCAGCCTCTTTCTACGAAGCCTTCCCCCCTCACCCTATCCCTTTGTGCTCGACGCCAACAACGGGGGACGGGGAGGAGGGGAAGCAGAGGAGGAATAATATCAGGACGACGAGTTGGGAACGATCACGAGGATGACGAGGGGCGAAGGAGGAGGATCACGAGGAGGAGGAGGAGGAGGAGGATCACGAGGAGGAGGAGGAGGAGGAGGAGGAGGAGGAGGAGGAGGAGGAGGAGGAGGAGGCCCAGGAGGAGGTGGAGGGACAGCACGAGGGCGACGACTACAGTGGGAACGCACCTTAACAGGTCGTTGGCTCCTTGGGCCCAGATCTTTAGGATTCAAGACCCTTTATTCCATCGAACCCCGAGGGCTTCAATGATCGGCCCCTCGTGCATGTCCCTCCCGCGGCCGAAGTGCTGGCGCGAGGGCGAATAGCAGCCGCCGCCACTGAGTGGAGCGGGGGAGGGGCGGAGAGGGCGGATGCGGACGGAACCTGGCCGTCACGCCTTGCTGCACGACGAGCGCGAGATCTTGAGTAGTTCTCAGAGGAGGAAAAGTCACCGACACCGCTGCCCTTTCCCCCCGTTTTCCCCTTCTCCGGCCTCCTGGGAGGCCCTCGTGGGCACCGCTGGGTTCGCCCCGTCATCCTGGTGAGAACATACCGCTGGAAAGGTCCGCGGAGTAGCGGTACCGGTATTTCTTGGTTCCCTCAAACGCGTGGAAAGGTGGGCACCGCGGAGCGGAGCGGAGCGCCGCGCAGCGGATCCAGCTTGCAGTGCCTGAAGCGGAGCGGAGCGCCACAAACCCGGACATCGGGCTGCTCCAATTTTTGTTCGATGCGTGGGTCCCAGGGGTCTGGGCCGCTTCCCTGGGGCCGGTTTTTCGTCCCGAATCTGTCTTTTGCGCTCCCGGGGCCCGACGAGGGCCCCTGGAGGCCGAAAGCAGCCCAAAAGCCACCCGCTCGGATTTTTGTCGGAGGCGTCGGATCGCTGGGGAGCGGAGAGGCCCAGGACAGGGCCTATAGGGCTGCCGCCGCGCGCGGAGCGGAGCGGAGAGCGTCCTGGGGAGGGCTGCCAGGCCATCAGCCGGCTGCGGAAGGAGCTGAAGGACCGGGCCGCTGGCGCCCGCGGCGGGTGGGCCAGGGGGGGGGGCGCGGAGGGCCACGCCGAAGGAGGGAGGTATGGTGTGGTATGCTAGGGGGCCCTCCAGGGCGCGAAGTAATTCGCGCTTCGCGGTTCGGCTCCTCCTCCTCCTCCTCCTCCTCCTCCTCCTCCTCTTCTCCGCTAGCGGGCGGCGCGAGAGCGCGAAGTTCTTCGCGCTTCGCGCAGCGCGAAGCGCGACGTTGGGCGCCCTTGGGTACGGGCTTGCGCCAAACGCGGGGCCCGGCCCAAACTATCCGAGCTCGGCCTCCGGCTCGCGCTCTTCTGCGCTGTCCTTCTCTCGCCTCGCTCCTCGGGGAGCGCCGGCCGAGAGGTCGAGGGCGCGCGCGCGCTCCCCCGCCCCCACAAGCCCGAGCGCCCTCGGAGCCTCCGCCCAGCCTCCCCTGTCGGCCTTTTGCCCCGGTCGCCGCCGGCCCCGACGCGCTGGGCCACGGGCGGCGGCCGAGGGAGGGAGGGAGGGGGGGGAGCGCCAGGAGGGGAGAGGACACAGGCACAGGGAATCGTCGATTCCCCAGAAAAGAGGGGAAACTATGGGAACTGGGGGGGAAGACGACCCCCCCCCCCCCCAAATATGGGAAAATAAGGGGAGTAGTTTTATTTGTGTGATGTGTGATGTGTGTGTGTGTGTGTGTGTGTGTGTGTTCTGGGGCCCCTGCAGAGGAGGGAGGAGGGGGGCAGCGGGCGGGCGGGCGGGGGGGGGAGGAGGTACTGGCCCAGAGGTCCGGCGCTCCAAGCATCGGAGCGGGCGGTCTGTGGCTGCCGCCAGGGAGCCCTCGCCGGGCCTCGCGGTGCATCGCTCGGGCGTGCGCGCTTTTTCTCGGAAGGGACGATCGAAGAGTATTTTGTTCTACGCGCACGAAGCCGAGCATTGCTCAGGGAATGGGCGTGCGAGCGATGGCTAGATTCAGGCCGAGAAAGCGGGCCCCGATCATGGAAGTGGCGCGGGCCTCCATGGCCCACGCCTCGAGAAGAACTTGGAGCAGCCGGATGTCTGGGTGGGGAGGCAGGAGGCAGGAGCAGGGGGCATGAAGAGGAGGTGGTGGGGGAGGAGGAGGAGGACCAGGGTAAACCAAAGAGACATCAACGACGTTGGAATACACTTTCCCTCCAGGCTCCCTCTTCATAGGCCCCTACAACGGTTCATGTCCATTGCGGGAACTGCCTCGTTGGAAGACAACCGTTTGAAGACCCTGAAGCATTTGAAACATTGTTCTCGGGATTCCAACGCCAAGGATCAACCTGACTGCTGCGTCTTGACGATCGTGAATCGTGCCAGGAAGCCTTTCCTGGGACTTCAATACCGCGCATCAGCGGAAGTGTTGCACCCGCATAATCCAGAAGCTTTTCCAACAACATGTCTGGCTGGTATGTTGATAATGGAAATACATACAATTTTTGCAGATGCTAGGAAGGAAAGTGCGCGGCGCGAAGGCGGGAATCACATTTTGAAAAGGAACCGCCCTCAATCCGCGAAGCTCTTACATTTTGTAACACGAATGTGCGCGGCGCTAGGGCGAGAACCATATCTTGAAATCGAATCGTTTCAATCAGTGAAACTCTGGCATTTGTTTCAGCGAGTGTTACTGATGCTGCTTTCCTAGGGGCTCCAACTCCTAGGTAGGGTCGCACTGGGGTATTTTTTTGTTTATATATAAAACAAAATTCAATTTCTCAATCAGGGTATGTAGGAATTGATATTTTCAATTCTCAGGTTTTCAATCCCGGCGTACTCTGACGGGCGGGCAGGTTAGGTCGAGCAGACGGCCCCTGACGGGCAGAACGTGCGGTCTGGCGGGACATTAAATGCAACTCTGATAGTGTGATGGGGCATGTTGTGTTCAGTCGAGCGGGCTGGCGGGACGTTAAATGCAGCACTCCTTCTGTGAAGGGGCAAGCTGCTGGACAGGCGCGCTCCTGGCTTCCTGGAGGTCGCCGACCGCGTCCCCCCCCCCTCCCCTGAGGAGCCTTAGGGGGGGGGTTTTCCAAAGGGCGCTCGTGGAGCACTCTTCGGCCGCCCCTGCGTGAATGCCTGTGCGTGCGAAGTCACTCACGGTATAGACAAGACCGCGTGCGTGAATGTAGAAGAAGGCTTGACCACGCACTGGAAATATTGCGTTGTAGCGGA